AATTTGGTAAGTCATTAATATACAGGAGAAATAAAAGTGGGCCTAAATTACTGCCTTGTGGTACACCGCAGCTCACAGTACAAGGCTCAGACAGACTTCCGTTAACACTGCACAGCTGAGACCTCGTCAGTAAATAAGAACGGAACCACTTGAGTGAGCCTTCATCTACACCATAATTTATATGGGCTATAGTCCATGCTTTTTGCTTAAAAATGGCCAAAAATGACCTATTATGCATCCATCATGGATAATACATATCTATTCAAAAGGTGTGAAAATGGCCCAAAATTGATGAAAACCATGGGCTATAGTCCATGCTTTTTGCTCAAAAATGGCCAAAAATGACCTATTATGCATCAGTCATAAACAATGCATATCTTTTCAAAAGGTGTAAAAATGGCCCAAAATCGATCAAAACCATGGGCTATAGTCCATGCTTTTTGCTTAAAAATGGCCAAAAATGGCCTATTTTGCATACCTCATAAACAATGCATATCTTTTCAAAAGGTGTAAAAATGGCCCAAAATCGATCAAAACCATGAGCTATATATAGTCCATGATTTTTGCTTAAAAATGGCCAAAAATGGCCTATTTTGCATCCCTCATAAACAATGCATATCTTTTCAAAAGGTGTGATCATCACTAACTAATTGATTAGAAACTCCTTTTACCACTTTATAATTAATAATTTATTGATTTATTAATAGATGTAAAATGTTTACAGTTTGACTTTATATTTACAAGTAACCAATTTTAGTGTAATGACATTCGTTATGACAACATAAACAAATATCGTCATTACAGTACGTTAAAAATATTCAAAAGTAAAACATTTATTTTACCCTACTGATTTTGAAAGTTATTGATAAATTTATGTACTGGCAGGGGTGGGGTTGGGCAGGATTTTTTTCTAAGGAGTTTATTTTTATGGTGGCAGGAGCTATTAGGAAGTTGTTCGAATTATTTATTGCTGTTATGAGAACAGAGGCTTTGCTGAGTTTCATTTTGTAAGACGACAGAATATCTCTATTTCCCAGTTATATTTTGTTCATTCATTAAGTTATGTTGCATTTCGAGAGGTCGAAGGCATCATAATGTACATAATGAGATATTCATTTCATGTAGGCTCGTCAGCAATTGTCTGGTCGCCTCACAGTCCTTTCGCTCGATATTAAACCCAGCAATTGGCTTACACTTGACCTCTCATAATTACTACACTCTCTTTTCTCATTCAGTAAATACAGCTGTGTTTAATGACTGAAGAGTCATAGACACAGGCTTAACCTAATTTAAAGGCAAATCATTTGTAAAAGTCAACTGTAATGTAAAGAATGTTCAGCTTGAACGACAGAGGTTTTTTTTGCAGCATCAAGTGACGGCAGCCATGTTAGATGGTGGGTATAACAAATCGTTTTACAGGAGAAAGAATTCAATTCCCAAGAGCAAAGGGATTTTATTGTTTTTGCCATCTAACCACAGGTAGGTACTTCAAAATTATTTTTTGTAACAATTGTACTTTTGAGCACCCACCTCAGAAACTAAGTTAGAACATGGTCTCAGAGAATATAATCTATACATCCATATAAAATATCATAATCCCACCCACTCCTCCCCTTCCCACCCATCCCCTGCACCAACCCCCATAGCTCAGTGGTGCATATAGACGTCAAATTATGTGATGCATGTGATGTCAAAGCAGCTCAATTTGGAGGTCAAAAGAAAATAATTTTAATCTCCTAAGAATTGGAAAACTATTGTGTTGCCCTCCAAATTGAGCTGCATTCCCATGGACAGCAAGGGGTCTATTCATACTGCGTAGGTATCATCTTTTCTTCTCAGTCGAGTAAATGGAAATAAAAGAGTCCGTGCTTCCTGCAGCAAGGTGAACCTGTAGATAGAACAATAGTCAAAATTTGAAAGAAAGAAAAATATGGATGGGTTTTTTCTCTGGGTTCTCAAATTTTCCCTTAATTACTTGTTGTGTCAAAATGATAAGCACCCACCCTTCCTGCTTGGGAAGCAAAGTGATCTATCCCCCCTTACTTTGCACTTGTTATAAATCAGTGGGGAGGGTCATAAGAAAGTCTTAAAATTGAATAACAATTTTAGGGGGGTCCAAAACTATGTCCGAGGCTAAGATAGAATAACCCTTGAACAAAAGACAAAAATCCCTACCCATGTCGTCCTAGGTGATTGTGTTAATATTAATAATGTATATGCTACTCTAATAAAACAAGGGAACATTTTCTATTTCATCTATAGAAGCTTTGCACCATCGTGTGACAGCAGCCATGCTATAGTCCATGCTTTTTGCCTCAAAAATGCCCAAAATGACCTATTTTGCATCCTTCATAAATAATGCAAATGGTCCAAATTGACCAAAACCATGGGCTATAGTCCATGCTGTTAGGCTGAAAATGGTGAATAATACAATCATTTTACATGAGAAAGAATCCAATTCCTAAAAGCAAATGGGTTTTATTGTCCTGATATCTAAACACAGGCAGCCCAAGCAGTATTATGGAATGCAGGGCACATAATGGTCCAAAACCTCTATACATACCCTATGAGGATGAAAGGCCATGCAACTGACAGGACCAATCCTTTGACCCATAAAGCCGTCATGATATCTGATAGTACTACGTGAACTCCCTTCCAAATCATAGATTCTTATCATCTGATTGGCTGATCCACTGAAAACAATATCACAGTCTGAGTCATATAGACAATCTAGAAATAACATTTTCCTATTTCAGACCATGTGTCATTCTCTTGAGAGTAAGATTCTTTGTTTGAGTTGTATCCATATTCATGTGTCTTCTCATGCGCAACCATTAGACAAAGAAATGATACTCAAGGGAATGACATGTGGTCTGAAATGGGAAAACATCAAGCCCAAGGTGGAAAGATCTATGATAGTCACTTTTATGAAGCTTGGGTGAACATGTCATTCTCTTGAGAATAAGATCCGTTGTTTGAGCTGTATCCATATTCATGTGCCTTCTCATGTGCAACCAATTAACAAGAAAATGATACTTTGGGAAATGACATGATTCTGCACTCAACCTTGTGTTCAGTGCTTATCATTAGGTAGTGCATAGCTAGGAATTGAACACTCTTATTTTGATTTCTTTTATGTCCTTGTTGATTTTTCATAAATACTATGGTCTCCATTGAGGTAAAAAAGGTAAACTACAATGTACCTATATTTAAATCGGTAGTTCCTTCAGTTTAAATTCAACTTCTATCAATGGAAGCCGACGGTGTGCACTTTACCCCCTCTCTCCATCAGTGCTCTGTTTTAAGAGTATTCAAAGCTGAAGCTACGCGGATTAGAGAGAAGTTGAAACAGATGTGGAGACACTGAGGATCAAACCTTGGACCTCTTGCTCAGAAGGCTGCGTACTAACTGAGCTACGCCTGCTCCTGTTCCCTAATTACTGTCAGAGAAAGGTGGAGGAAGGAAGAAAAAGAGGTTGGGGTAAGGATCCCTACCGACCACGCCCTTGTCGACATATTTCTGACTGACCTTGCTATGACCTTGGCCTGGTGGTGAACTTCAAAGGATGTCATATTCGACAAAGTCTCGAAACGTTTAACTGATTCTGAGAAGCGGGGATCCCAGAACCGTACATCACCAGCAACACTACATACAAAATGCATTGTTAGCATTCGAGTATTTAAATCAATAAAGCATTTTTTGAAGATTAGATAGATTTCATTTTTGAGGCTTTAGACATGATTTTTCCATAATCTTACAATTTATCATTAATACATACTTTTCCTTAAGATTTTCATTTCAAAATCTAATATGCGACTTCTATTTAATAATGATAATAATACTTGATTTAATATATCGAACATTTTCCAGTGTGGCTAAATGCGCCTGTCAGGTGGGACCCCACAATATATGAAATGATATGTAGATTATATATAAATATTATAGAACTAATATATAACTATGATATAACTAACATATAAGGAGTATTTCACAGTTTGATTCAGGCTTTTGGTCATTGCAATTGTCTGTGCAGTTAACCGTCAAATATTCCGTGTTAGTTGACTTGAATTTAAACTATTTTGCATTACGTTATAACATCCAACACTGTGGTTTTTTATTCTTTCTTTTTGTTCTCATAGTAAGTTTCTCAGACTGAATTTCCTACCTGCCACTAATGATATTTCCATCACCGCCTTTCTGTAGGAACACACTAGTAACCCATCCACTGTGCTCCCTCAGGGCCATCACACGACTAGACACAGAAGAGACAAGATTCAATCGCCTGGAACAAGAGATATCCCCACCCTACCCTGCCTAAGAACACATTAGTGACCCATCCACTGTGCTCCCTGAGGGCCATCACACGACTAGACACAGAAGAG